AGAAGGTAGGGGGTAGGCAGGGATGAAGGAAAACAAGTCAACTGAAAGAACAAGGTTGGAAGAACAAGCATGTGATCCTTTGTTTATTAAATGTGAACACTGCTCCCCATTCCTTTTTTTTTTTTTTTTAACTGGCCATATTTTAAACAACTTTAGTTCAGGAGGAAAAAAACCTGACAGTTTTTTAGCAGAGCTACTATCTGGAAGAGCCTCTACAAAGCCCAAGTCCTCTGAAAAAGCCACCTTCATCTTCAACAATGCAACATAACACAATAGGATTCCTCCAGATATTGTGAGTAAAGACTCATTCTAACTACAACATAGGCATCATCTATAAATCACTTAGGCATAAGGCAAACAGCCCAAGTGGCCACATTGGACCTGTACAGATTTTGAAAAGAAATTGGTCTTCATTAACATCCTCATATAATCCAGTCTTAATTATCCATAAATGGATTATCCAATTTACAGGATTTCTGAGGCATAATCTTAAACCAAGTTTGACTGTTCTTCACCAACAGTATACCCTCCTCACCACCAGGTAATATAGGCTTAGAAATGCAAATTCATTTCAACATCAGTACGATCCTCAAAACATTAAAATAAATCTGGCTTAAAAAAATGATGCATTTTCAAACCAAGAAATTTTAATACTAAATTCTGAATTACTTATACTACTATACCCTACAATACCAGAGATAACTGAAAGGTAAATGCACTTAAAACATGATACTGTCCTTACCATTAAGTTCTTGAGGATAATCCAGCCACAGCCCACAGGCTATGTGAGACAGACACAAACAGAGCTCAGCATAGTGAGTAAGGTGAGTAAGGTGTGTGAATACAAAAACTTCTACAAGGAATCCTATGTCTCCTGGGTGATCCCTTTAGGCCAAGATGGTCCAGAAGAGAAACCAAAGAGTTACAGTATACCGGTGCCTGCCTGACTCCTTGCCCCTGAGTTCCTGGACCAGAAGGCTCAATACTTCTCATTAAATCCATCCTTTGTTCAAGGATCTACAATGACTCTATTGACCCTTCCATCAACACCCAACAGAGTCTGGCCTCTGAGTCCCCTCCACCCTCTTGCCTGTTCTACCCATGACTTGACCACCCACATTCTCTCCAGTCCCTCTCATTTATTCCCCCAACAAACACAACTTAGTCATTCATTCCATCACTGCACACTGTACATTCCATACTTTCTGCCTGAAGATGTTATATTTTCTTTTACTCTTAACACAGAATAGCTATTTCATTTACTTGAATGCTCACACATATTTTATAGATAAGGATGGACAAGTAAATTGTCCAAATCACATAGTCGAGACTTAACCAAGTTCTACCTAACTCCATTGGCCATGCCTCTTTATGACTCTAATCCACAGCCTCCAAGTCCATTTCAAATTTTGCTGATTCAGAAGTCTTCCCTAATTAATTTCACAGACTCTGTTACTTCCCAAGTTTCCTAGCCTTTACATATTCCATTTGTAGCCCACTGAACTTGGTTTTGTTTATATGCTGTGTCCTAATGTTAAAGCTTATAACAGTGTGCCTTCCCATTTATATACACCACCTTCCACAACCCTACCCCTGTCCCAAGAGCAAGGACACTTGTTTTTATATCTTTTCTATCTTTCCAAAGCCTGTCACTGGAGCTTGGAGACAGCTTCATCGGCAAGAGTGTTCCATCATTATTCAGCAAGGATTCCTTACTTTAAAAAAAACAAAAAAACAGAAACAGGGGCGCCTGGGTAGCTCAGTCAGTTGACCATCTGACTCTTGGTTTCAGCTCGGGTCATGATATCAGGGTTGTGAGATCGAGCCCCGCATCAGGCTCTGTGCTCAGCGTGGAGTCAGCTTGAGATTCTCTCTCCCTCTCCCCCTGCCACTCCCACTCATGCTCACACTCTCTCTCTCAAATAAATACGTGAATCTTAAAAAAAAAAAAGACAAGAAAACTGGATTCTATCATATTAAAAAATCAACTGAATTTAGGCATTCATAAAACTGCCCTGCATCCATATTCCAGTTATACAGATTTTAATTATCTGAATTTATCAGGGGCTGTTGAGAAGATTTCACAGCTCCTAAGTTTCCACAGGGAAGACACTGCTGAAGCCACACTTCAAAGCACTGTCTCAGGATCTTCCCTTAATGGGATGAATGTCTGGGGTCAAAGAGGAGGTACTCCTTACAAGGAGCCTCACAAGGATCTGCCAGGATCCTAGCATGCTTAAGCATCCTTGAGAAGCTCGAAAACTTTACAACTGGCCCTCAGTGCCCCCATAACAATCTGAAATTTTATTTTTAATACTGTTACTCCATCATGATTTACTTGGTCACATATATTGAATCTCAAACCCCAAACAACCCCTTCTGAGAAATAGGAATAGTGCTAGACTATTAGGCTGCCGTAGGCTTATTCTTACTTATTCAACTGCTTCAATTCCCACCCCATCAGGCACCAAATAATGAATGTAGGGGAAGGTGATAGAAATAAATACATTTTCTGCCTGGAAGCTCTTTTCTTTTCTTATACTCCTAACAAAGAATAACTACTTCATTTGCTTGGATGCTCATACATATTTTATAAATAAGGATGGAGAAGTAAATTGTCCAAGGTCACATAGTAAATGCCATAATCAAGATTTGAACCAAGTTCTATTTAACTCCATAGCTCATGCCTCTTTATGACTCTAATCCACAGCCTCCAATTTTGCTGATTCTGAAATCTTCCTTAATTTATCTCATTGATATAAATAGAATTTCCCAGACATCACTAATATTGGCATCAACCGACACACAAATTAAAACAATTATTAATAGTCAACAGACTCTGGGAAGGCGTTTCTGATTTTTAAAAATTTGGTTTTACCCTCCAAATTAAATCTTTTTTCAACAGCGGTCCCCAGAAGTAGGAGATTAAGGAAGTAAAGCTTCAGGAATATTTCCAAGTTGTTGGTGACCTAACTCCACCAAGTCCAACTAACAATTACCATTCATTACTGTTCAGCCTGCCTTATACAAGTCAGCAGACAGCCATTTCCCTGGCAAAGGTTTACATTTTTTTTTCCACAAAGGAGTCTCTGGCATTAAATGAAAGGGATAAGTCAAGTCAGGCAAAAACAAAAAATTAGTAACAGTTTGGAAATTATCTTCCTTCCATCTTTCCTTCCTGTTTGGATGCTTAATGCCCAAAGTGGATTTCTGTTCAATTCTAAATTATTCATGTTAATGGATAATCGTCAGCAGAAAGGTGCTGATAATCCAAAATGGAAAAAAAGTGGAAAAATAATCTATTTCAGTTTTGGAAGATCTTTTCAGCATATTTACCTTCTCAATTATTCCTAGCATGAGCTAACACTTGTATTCATTTGCGATCACTAAGTACATAGTAACTGGCCACTTACTCAGGGAGGTGCTCTGCGGCATGCGGGGTAGCTAGTGGAAATTAGAACAAGACTGGTATTCACACTCCAGATGAGCAACATCAATTTCATTTATTTTACAGTGCTGTTCAGCCTTCAAAATATCAATAGACTAGCACAGCAGGTTGGCTCCCAAACTTTAAAAGAACTGTTCAGAAGAACAATGAGGACAAAGAGTATAATTGTTTGCCTATAATGTATTCATTTGTAAATTATGCACAGCAAATGGTTAATTAGAAGTCTGAGTGTCCCTAGTCACCCAGCATAAGTTCCTGCTGTCTTCTCCACCCCAACAGGAATGCAGTCTCGTTCACTAGGAAAGAAATTTTCTAAATGTTTTTCAAAAATCTGGGATTTGCTATCTATCTTTTTGGACTAGCCTTACCACTACCTCTTCTTGTCCTTTTCTACCTTAGAAATAGATTCTGAAAGACAAAGGGATCCAACCTCCTCAAGGACCTCCTAAATATACAGTATGACAAGCCAAAGACTGAAAAATTACCAGCTTCTGGTTGTTCTCAAAAACATTTTACACAGTTATAAAAATATGAGAAAAAAAAAAAAGTCAAAGTCCTGCTAATTCTTGCTTTTGCATTTATGAAAAGGAACCCCCCTGAAAAGTGTGGGGGAGACTCTTTTACATAAAATTTCACCAGTCCACTTCTTTCAACTTAATTTCTGTATCTGTATTGTGCCCAGAGGAACCGCCTAGGTTAGACAGACTACCTAGACGAGAGGGAGGGAGTGGGGGAGGGAGACGGAAAAAGACTCAGGGAGACTCAGGGAGACTCAGAGAGACTCAGAGCTCTGGTCCCTGTGAGCCGACAAGCTAAAAATACGCCGGCCCAGTAAACAAATCCCATTCCATCCCGACCGGAGCCACACCGTTAACCTAGTAATTATGAGAAGAGGAGTGAGATCACGCAGACCCCGGCTTACTCATCAGCAGCTTCTAAAGTTTCCATCGGCTCATGGCAACTTTTCTTTTTTCTAAAGTTCATAAGCCTGCCCTAGAATCAATCTCCCTCTCTCTCACACACATACACACACACACACTTTTTCGCTCCCTTCCTCCATTACTGGGCGCACCTCAGTTTGGCTACCTATAGGGGAGAACAAGCTTGTTTTCTTTTCGTTGTACTTTTATACTGAGACTTTACAATGAACTTTATCCCACTATGGGGGTAGGACGGGCGGGGGGTAGCCTGCACTCTGAACCACCTTAAAACTCCACCACCCCTCCCCGAAAGTCTCGCTGACAAGGGGGGGACCGTCCAAACTGCCCAGCACAGCTCAGGAAGGGAGGCCGGGAACTGGGGGGGGGGGGGGGGGGGGGGCTAGGAACGCGGGACGCAGGTGAAAGGGAGGAGTAACGGGGAAAAGGTCTGGGCGAAGCAAGGCACAGTCGGGGCGTGGAGGGGGTGCCGGGAGGCAGTGGCTCTGGGAGAAATATAATCAGAAAGGAGAAGGGGGACAGTGGAGATCAGAGGGTCAGAGTTTGGGAGTCTGAAGAGGCGGGAGGGACGGGAGCAGACGGGGGGAGGGTGACAGGGCAGGGGGCTCCGTTACCCTCGCGGCTCCCGGGGCAAGGCCCTAGGCCGGGGCGGAGCGCGGGGCCCGGCCGCCTCTCCTCATTCCTCGGCTGTGACCCCGGGGTCCGGCTGGCCCCTCCCCCGACGACGATGGAGGCGGAGGCGGTGGCGGAGACTGCGACCGCGGCTGTTGCTCCGCACAGGATCAGGAGCTGGAGCCAGACGGCACTGATCACGACTGGCCTCCCCCAGTGGCTTTTTGCCTGCTCCACACCCCGTCGCCACTCCGACTCAGGCGGCTGGTTCAGGATCGGTGGCTTTCGGCCGTCCGGCCGGAAACTAGCGCCAGTTTCCGGCCGGAGCGGGTTGGTGGTGACACCTAAGCCTCCCCCCCCCCCCCCCCAGGCCTCCTCCTGCCGGCCCCGCCCCGCCCCGCCCCGCCCCGTAGCAGCCCCGCCTTTAGCGCCGCTCCCCTGGCTGCGGCCGGTTTGGCGCCTGCCCTGCGCGTGACCCCGTGTTTTCCTGGCCAGTGTTCTTAAGGCCTCTGATCTGGAGAGTTCTTGAACCGAAGCTGGAGGGGTACAGAGGGGGCTCTTGAGACTTTGAGGTAGGGTCAGTTGGCTCTAGCCCTTTGGGAAGAAGCAGAAAAAGGCGGGCAATTCTGGAAAAGTGAGGGGTGAAAATACTTTCGAATGAGAAGACTGAAATTCTAGTTACTCTTCGCGGTCATTCTAGACTGACCAGAGGAAAATTAACAATGCTTCTCCCAGACCGAGTCTCCACCGGTTTTGCAGTCTTCTAACGTCACTCATGAAGCGAACATACCCTTCTCTGTTAACACTCAATATTTACTTGCATAATGATGACATGTATGCCTTAGCCCAATCGAAAAAAGTTAAGTATCGCTGTTTTTATTAATGCCTTTTAACAGCATTACAGCATAATTCAATTCAAATATTTATTGAGTCCCTAGTATGTGCAAGGTACTGTGCTCATTGATATTGGTGACACAGAAATAAATAAGACACAATTCCAGGCATCAGGGATCTTACACTTTAGTAAAATACATGAAACCATATTATATAAAACAGAACTCACATGTGTGCTATGTGAGTAACAGTGGGCTATGGCTATGAGAACATAAACTTCAGCATATAGCAGACCTTCCATATTTATTGAATGAACAAATAAAAATTAGGAGAATGTGGGCTAGTTCTAGTAAGAAGAGCCATTTAATCAAACACAAAATGGGGCCAGCCCCTCCTATAACCTGACCAAAGAAATCCTACATTTTATTTTTTTTTAAAGATTTTATTTATTTATTTTGACAGAGGGACAGCGGGAGAGGGAACACAAGCAGGGGGAGTGGGAGAGGGAGAAGCAGGCTTCCCAGTGAGCGGAGAGTCCGACATGGGGCTCGATCTCAGGACCCTGGATCATGACCTGAGCCGAAGGCAGACTCTTAATGACTGAGCCACCCAGGCGCCCCAAGAAAGCCTAAATTTTAATTCAGATTCCTAACATTGTGGCACCTGATCTGCATATTAAAAATGTTTATTGTCTAAATTGTGCCCAACAAATACTGTACCACAGTCAACTTTTCCCCTCAGTACTTCCTGAGGTCCTCAGTTTCTTTTTTTGTTTGTTTTAAAGATTTTATTTATTTATTTGACAGGGAGAGACACAGCGAGAGCAGGAACACAAGCAGGGGGAGTGGGAGAGGGAGAAGCAGGCTTCCCGCCAAGCAGGGAGCCCGACGCGGGGCTCAATCCCAGGACCCTGGGATCATGACCTGAGCTGAAGGCAGACGCTTAACGACTGAGCCACCCAGGTGCCCCGAGGTCCTCAGTTTCTAAATGGGAAGGGTGGAGCGTAGACATTTTGGAATTATCCAGGTCAGGACTAGAAAATGGACATCTGAAACAGGAAACTGCCTAGACAGGCAGCTATATCTCCTGGGGACACCCAAGATTGAGAGTTGATTTAGGCCTGGGCCTAAGGCCATACCAAGGCCAAGCAGGTCAGAGTGCCTTGCAGGAGGCACACTCAGGACCAACAGTACAAGTTGGAAAGCAGAGCCATTTGGCCTGGGCTTCAAGCATCGGGGGACTGCAACTTTGGGCTACTGTTCAGTGGCAAATTTGAGGAAGAGGGTAAAATGAGACTTGGTCATCTAAGTTGATTCTAACTGAACTCCATTGATCACAACCACCCCTTGCTAGCTAAATCTGAGGTAGGAGAACAGATCCACAGATGAGGAGCCTAAAAAATCTGAAGTTATCTTGTTTCACCAAAGCCCTCCCAGGATGAGATTTCGCTAATCTGTTGACTGTGTCTTTCCAGTCTTAACTCCACTACCACCACTTTATTAGAACCAGGTACGGAGTTCAAAGACACTCTCCACCCTCATTACAAGGCAGACTTTTACTTTTGGCAGTGACCACAAAAAGTTTCCAAATTTGAAAGCTGGGCCAAACTCAATTAAGTAACCACAAATTTACAGGCTTGCCTGGAAATTTAGGGGCGAGGAAGGGAGGGGGTTGCAGTTGTTTTGTGCCTGTTTCTTGCTCTGACCATCCATCACTCATTGTTGTTTGTGCAATTGCTCAATGGGCTGCTTGTTTTGGGTCAGCCCAGGCTATGTGGGTAGCAGTGTGGTCAGCCAGGCTGGGAGCCAAGCCACCTGGATTCTGGTCCCAGCTCAGCCAGCCCCTAAGCCATTAAGTGACTCCCTTCCTATTCCTATGTGTCAGTTTCTCTGCCTAGAAACTGGGGACCTCTTCTGTAGTGATCTGCAACCATTTGGGCTGTCACTATGCTGAATGTTCAGAAGCAGCTGTCTGATGTCGTTGTCAGTTGCCAGAACACAGCTGATTATTTTTTGCTGCCAGGTAAAAGAATAGTAAAAAAGAAAGGAAAGAACGAAAGAAAGAAGAAAGAAAGAAAGAAAGAAAGAAAGGAAGAAAGGAAGAAAGGAAGAAAGGAAGAAAGAAAGGGCAGCACAGAAAATTCTACCAGTGTACCAGCAACACACCCTCATCTATCATTCAGTACTATGTTCTCTTCCATCCTAAGGCCTGTTTTTGTTTACTCATTTTAGCAATCTGAAGGGATGCTTCAAGGACTTCCCTGAACTTTCATTTCACTTTAAGCTAGAGCAGAAAAAAAAAACGAAACAGCATTTCACCAGAAAAACGAAAAGAGCGACTATTTCAACACCAGCTAATGGATAGAGTGGAGGGAAATGTTCAGAGAAAGCTATTTTGCAGCTAACCAGGAAAAAAGAAAAAAAAAAAAAAACAGTAATTGTTTGCATTTATATGCTTTTGTGGTGGAACAGAAAACCAAACCAAAATAACTTCCTTTTCACTACCACCACTGTAATTTAAACCATGGGTTCTGTGGAGTTTCAAAACAGCGTACTATATGTGCCTAGGAACCTCAGACTGAGAATTTTGGGGATTGAAAACCAAGAGTCTAAATTTTTTTTTAAGATTTTATTTATTTATTTGACAGAGACATAGAGAGAGAGCACAGACAGGCAGAGCGGCAGGCAGAGGGAGAGGGAGAAGCAGGCTCCACAATGAGCAGGGAGCACAATGCGGGGCTCGATCCCAGAACCCTGAGATCATGACCTGAGCTGAAAGTAGCTGCTTAACCGACTGAGCCACCCAGGTGCCCCTAAATATTTTTTTTAAATATACACAGTTTGGGGCACCTGGGTGGCTCAACTGGTTGAGCATCAGCTCTGAATTTTGTCTCAGGTCATGATCTCGGGGTTGTGGGATCGAGCCCCACATCCGGCGCTGCTCAGCAGGGAGTCTGCTTGAGATTCTCTTCCTCATCCTCTGTTTCTGCCCCTCTCCCTGCTGATGCTCTCTCTCTCTCTCAAATAAACAAATCTTTAATAATAAATAAATAAATAAATATCCACAGTTCTTTTTCTTTTTTAGGTATAAAATTGTCATACAACATTATATCAGCTTCAGTTGTACAGCATGATGATTCAATATTTGTGTATGTTGTGAAATGATCACCACAATAAGTCTAGTAGACATCCATTACCATAGTTGCAATCTTTTTCTTGTGATGAGAACTTTTAAGACTTACTCTCTCAGCAACTTTCAAATATGCAATACAGTGTTGTTAACTGTAGTTGCTATGCTTTGCATTATATCCCTAGGACTTACTTATTTTATAACTGCAAGTTTGTATCTTTTGACCCCCTTCACCTGTTGTGTCCCCCCACACACTCCTTTCCTCTGGCAACCAGCAATTTGTTCTCTGTGTCTATGAGTTCAGCTTTTTTGTTTCTTTGTTTTGTTTTGTTTGTTTGGGTTTGTTTGGGTTTGTTTTGTTTTTAGATTTCACATATAAGTGAAATCATACAGTATTTGTCTTTGAGCTATTTCACTTAGCATAACGCCCTCAAATTCCATCTATGTTGTCACAAATGGCAAGATTGCATGTTTTTATGGCTGAATAGTGTTCCAATATATAAATGTTATATATAAAACATGTTTGTGTGTGTGTACACGCACACACACACACACACACATATATGTATACTGCAATTTCTTTATCCGTTCATCTAACGTTGGACACTTAGATTGTTACCGTGTGCTTGGCTATGGTAAATAATGCTGCAGTTAACATGGGGTGCATATATCTTTTTGAATTAGTGTTTTCATTTTCTTCAGGTAAATACTCAAAACTAGGGCACCTGGGTGGCTCAGTTGGTTAAGCGACTGCCTTCGGCTCACGTCATGATCCTGGAGTCCCGGGATCGAGTCCCACATCGGGCTCCCTGCTCGGCAGGGAGTCTGCTTCTCCCTCTGACCCTCCTCCCTCTCATGCTCTCTCTCTCAAATAAATAAATAAATAAATAAATAAATCTTTAATACTCAAAACTAAATTGCTGGATCATCCTATATAGAAATAGATAAATATATAGAACTATTTATAGTTCTATTTATAATTCTTTAAGGAACCTCTAACCTGTTTTCCATACTGGCTCCACTAATTCAAATTCCCACCAACAGTGCACAAGGGTTCCCTTTTCTCCACATTCTCGCCAACACTTGTTATTTCTTCTTTTTGATGATAACCATTCTAACATGTGTGAGGGGATAGCTCACTGTGGTTTTGATTTGTATTTCCCTCATGATTACTGACGTTGAGCAATTATTCATGTGTCTGTTGGTCATCTGCATGTCTTCTTTGGAAAAAATGTCTGTTCAAATCCTCTGCCCATTTATCAATCAGATTGGTTTTTTGCTATTGAATTGTATAAGTTCTTTATGTATTTTGGACACTAACCCCTTATTGGAGAGATGATTTTGATTT